AGTCCCAGCTTTGCTTCTGATAACTTCCTGCTAATGCAAAACAAGAGAGGCAGCAGGCCATACTCAAGCACTTGGGTTCCTAACCCTAACTCTAACCCTAACCCTCTGGACTCCTGGCTTTGGCCTGGTCATTCTCCAGCTATTGCAAACATTTGAGGAGCTAACCAGTAGGTGTAAGACCTATTTCTAGCTTTAACTTTTAAATTAGAAATAAATTTTTAGGAATTAAAGAAATAATTGACAGGAAAACAATGTGGTTTTTCCTCAAAACCTGTGTGAGTCACAACATTCCACATGAAAGTATACATCCAAAAGAAGTGAAAGCAGGGATTCCAGTGAGACTGTTTGTACTCCCATATCCATATTCTCCGTGGTCAACGGATGGAAGCCACCCAAGCATCCACGGATGAAGGACTGGATAAACACAATGTGGTACCTACACACGATGGAATGTTACCTAGCCTCAAAAAGGAAGGAAATTCTGGCACACCCTATGGTGGAAGAATTCTGAAGACTTCAAAAAGACAAATCTCAGACGATGCTACTAACATGAGTGGCCAAGGAAGTCCTATGCACAGACATAGAAAGTAAAAGAGTATTTGTCGGGGCCTGGCAAGATGGAAGGGAAGCAGGGGAATGACTGTTTAATGGGTGCAGTTATGGTCTGGGGTGATGAGGAGGCTCTGGTTTGGACAATGGTGTGGTTATACAACATGAGTAGACTTAATGCCACTGAACTGAATATATAAACAGTTGAAACGGTACTACGGTTGGCTGCGTACCCTCCACATTTCAAGCACTGGCTCTTCGTGGCTAGTGGAGGGGTACTGAGAGGTGGAGCCTTTAAGGTGGAACACAAGGGAGACCCCCTCAATGATGGGATTCAGGTGCTTATGGGAAAGCATGGACAGTGCCATGCTCACTTCCTGTCCCCCTTAGCCACAGGAAAATACCGTGCCCCAGACAAGGTGCCACCCCAGAAGCAAGGAGGTCACCATCACCACACACCACATTCTGAGCATCTTCACCTTGGACTTTCAGACTCCTGAACTATGACAAAGAAACATTTTCTTACCGGTTATCTGATCTGCAGTCTGCATTACAGCAACACACACACACAAGGCCAAATGGTCCACGTGATATTTGGCATATTTCAACAATAACAACAAAAAATGAAATTTAAAAAGTAATCAGCAAAACAATGAAATGTTCAGCTAATCTAAATCAGCTAATAGGATTTTTAAAGAGGATTCAACCAGAAACCTACACCCTTCATCTTCCTCCCCCTGTATGAGACAGAGATAGGTGACAGGGCCAGGTATCAGGTGGGGCACAAGAGCCACCACACAGCAGTGCGGCCACCTTTTGGCATCTAAGAACAAAAATCAATTCCACCTGGGTCTGCAATGCTGGAGATGGGGCAAAGGAGAGGGGGAGGATGGAACTCCTGCCCACTGACCCACTTCAGAGGGACGGGAACTGCTTCATGTTCACGTCCCTTGACAAGTGTACCTTTTCCACAAGACCAGTGTCGAGGCAGGCATGTGGCACAGTGGCTAAGCTGCTGCTTAAGATACCTGCATTTTGTAACAGAATGTATAATGGCTAAAACAACTGTGATCTGTGCCAGTCACACGGGAGACCTGGGTTGAGCTTCTAGCTACTGGCTTTGGCCCAGCCCAACATCAGCTGTGGCAGGCATTTAGGAAGTGAACCAGTATGTGGAAGATATCTCTCTCTACTTCATCCCCACCTCCCACATCCAATTAAAAAAGGGGGGGGGGGGACTTGTGTTCCTTTTGAAATCTTCTTTCCACTCTTATATAGTGTATTTCCCAACAAAAAGTACCTTGCAACAAGGACAGTGTCTTAAATTTCTTTCCACAAGTTCTCCAAATAAGGACCCCACACCTTGAGCTGGGAGCTGCAGCAAATAGCATTTTCCCAAGAATCACATTGCTATGTCCCTTCCTATATACCAGTATTACCATGTAGCAAACTTCTTCTGCTGACAAGTGGGGTCTCTACTTTCTTCTGGACTCAAGTTGAGGCTGTGGCTGCCCAGATGATGGGACAAGGTACAAGTGATGCTATGCAGCCTCCAAAGCTGCATCAGAGAACAGAGGCAGCTCCCACCTGCCCTTCTCTTTCCAGGACACTCACTCTGAGGAAGCCCAGTGCTACACTGTGTGTGAGCACAGAGGACCTGATGTGGAAGCCAAGAGGCCCAAGCCAAGAGCCAGCACCTCCCACCGGACACACAAGTGAATAAACCTTCAGATGGCCCAAGGCCCAGCCTTCAGGACTCCCAACAGAGGCTCCAGACCCTGCAAGCAGACCCTGAGTGCCTCTAATCCACAGAACACAGCTGTATCATTAATGCTGGCTTTGTGGTATTCTGCAGCCAGGAGTGCTGTGCAGGCTCCGTACACACAACCACAAGACGACCAAGGAAGCAGCTTTTGTCAGAGTCTTACTTCCTGCTTGCTAGGCTGCGACTAGGCATGGATGGATTTTGGGAAACCTCCCTATCACACCTACTATTAAGATAGCCAGTACTTGGGAATTCATGCTATCTCTGCCTTCTGTTCATGACCTGAACTTTTTGCAACAACCATTAGGATAAGGCCATTCTAGGTAGGAAGGGAGAGAGAGTAAGAGACATTAGGAAATTTTGCCAAGAATAATTGGCTAGGATCGCAGAACCTTACATTAGAGGGACATGGGACTTATCCACCACCCTTCAGCCACTAAAATGAAGAACTGAGGCCGTATCCACATGCAATGCTGGGCCTTTTAACAGCCACTGGCTAGTGTCCAACTGGCTTCCCAACGCAGAAATATCCTGGACCAATACGTTGGAAACAAGTCTGAGGATTCAGGAGTGAAATTCCTCTCCATTGTCCTATGTCTGAGTCCAGAGAGGCATCATAGCCCTAGGATATGCATGGAAAGGCCTACAAGTGCTTGAAAAGCTTCCCTGGGAGCTGCCCCATGCCTCTCCCTTAGTCACAACAGAGCCCATCCTACTTAGCCTCTGTGGGAATTCCACTTTCTACTCAGCCTCATAGCCACTGGCCACTAATTCCACATCTCCAGTGAAAGCTGGTGGCCATCCAAGCAAGGTGCTTTCTACTAGTGCTCAAGCACCATCTCCAGTCCCTGGGGAGGCAGCTCTGCCACACGGTCATCTCTTCCCAGGTAAGGATCCAAGAAGAGTCTCTCTCCACCAGTGTGGCATTGGGACAACGCAGAATGAGTCCAAGTATGCTGGGTGGCCTTTAAGAGGGGGGAAGCCAGTACAGACCTAGCTGCAGGGAGCAAAGGCCTCAGCCACCAACACCTTCCCAAGTCTACTCAGCCACATTCCCTCCCCCAGCCATGTTACCTGCTTCCCAAGGGGCAGTCTAGAACATCTAGAAAAAGAGGCTTTCGCAAGTTCCTGGGATGACTTTGCCAAACCACTTCCCACCCTGCTACAACATAGCCAGTGCACAGGGGGCTGTCAGGCCCAGGCTCAGCATCCACACCATGCCTCAGAAGTGTGCACTGTGTGTGTGTGTGTGTGTGTGTGTGTGTGTGTGTGTGTGTGTTGTGCCAAGAGGGAAGCAGCATGCTTCTGCCGCACACAGGAACTCAAGATGCTTCCAAGAAATTGATGAGGGTCAGCACATCCTGCCCTGAAATATGGCACTTGAGAAAACTGCAAGGTAGGAAAGTCACGCTCACCCCCCTCCCCCAAAGCAGATCGTAAAACTTTCATCTGAGAGATGCCCTTTTATACCCACAGGAGAGGAACAGCCTTATCTCTGACAACATGGGGTCGCAGAGGAAAGGCTGAGAAAACAGACCTTGCTAGACCTCCTGACCTCATACTTCACTAACCCAGACTACACGCCTGCTTTGCCCAGTCATAACTCCCCATGATAATCCATTTCTCCATCACTCCGAAATCATAAAAAAAAAAGCATGTGTCTCTGTTTCTTTGGGTTTTCGTTTCTTTATGAAGATTTCTATGTCAAGCAAAAGTCACACCACATCAATTTGAATTTTTTTTTCTGGTGAATTTCTCTTTTTTCCTATGGGGCCTTGCCCCAGGAGCCTAACAATGAGGGAAGAAAAGCTAACTCTTTTTCCCCTGCTCCACTGTGAGCTTCTCTAGTGTGCAGCTTCCTGCACAGCTGTCCGGAAGCAGCCCACAAGAACACCTCCTGTGCAGGCCCAGATCCGCACCTGCTCTCACCTGCACTGGTCTCTAGGTCTCCCCTGATTGCCTGTGATTGCTCAATTCACATTCAAATGGAAACCACGGCTGCAGGCTGCAGACTCAGCATTTCCAGTAAGCAAACTTATTTTGAAATCGGGTAACTTTGGGGGCTGCGGTGGAGAGTTGACCATATATGTCCCTGAGCCCCAAACCTACTACTCGAGAGCAGCATATGGGAGAGGCCGTGAACTGTTTGTGTAAGAATAGGCCCTGTCTCATCCAGCGGAGCTGGATCCTACTGAATCCACAGCCTAATGAGGCCTGACATCTGCTAAGGGGACGGGGTCGGTGCTAGAAGCAAACATCTGTAACACGAGACTGCACTCGTGGAGCAAGACGCAGCATTCCTCATCCATGCGGTGTGCTGGAGACAACAGCAGACCATGCGAAGCAGTTGGCCACTGCCAGACACACCCAGACAGACAGAAAGGAGCAAGGGACAAGGGTGGCCGGGCACACCCGACTCCAGGCCCCACTCTTAGACAGCATTACCCAAAGATCATTCCTTGCTCTGGCCATAACACATCCCACTTTTTTTGTGTTAAAAACAAAAACTATGAACTACCCACCTCCCCTTAGGTTAAAACCTCACATTCCTCCAAAGAGCAACTCACTCTCGCCAGTCACGCAGGAAAAACGACTGTGTCTCTGCGACTGTGACATTATTGCAGATCAAACATACGAGAAGCTGTCAGCCAGTATTTGTTGAAAGAAAAAACTCCAAGCTATTTACCTGTGACTGTAGCGAATGGCTATGGTCAACCCAAGCTGTAAAGAGAGAAACACACCAGGTTACATAAAATCAAGAACATGCTGAGCTCACAAGAAACTTCACTTAATATGTCAACTTTATTTTTTTTTTTATTATTGTTGCTTACATTGTATTGTGTAGTACAGTTTCATAGGCGCTGGGGATTCCCCCCACCCCTCCCATACCCCTCCCCCCATGGTGGATTCCTCCACCTTGTTGCATAACCATAGTTCAAGTTCGGTTGAGATTCATTGCTTGCAGACACATGCCTAGCATAAAGTTCAGCGTCTTATTGTCCAGATAAGTTCAGTGGCCTCTTGGGGAGACCTTCTATGGTCTGAAAATAGGTCTAACAGAGTAAAGATCCAGTCAGTTAAAAGCCCCAACGAGGCCACAGTATCAATATACAACATTATGGAATTAATTGACATAGTATTGGGTAAACAATATGTTAAAAATAATGCAAGTTCCCTTCTTCGAAACATCTGGGTTGAGACAGTATCAATGACAGGTTCAAAAAAAAAAAAATAACAAACAACCAAACAAAAAATTACAGGTTAAATCAAGGCAAACATGTGGTATCTAATCTTTTGGGATTCGCTCATTTCCCTTAGCATTATAGTTTCCAGTTGTACCCATTTAGCCACAAAGAACTGCATTTTGTTTTTTTTAATAGCTGAGTAGTATTCCATGGAGTAGATGAACCAAAGCTTTCTTATCCAATCTTCTGCTGATGGGCATTTCGGTTGCTTCCATGTTTTTGCAATTACTGATTGTGCTGCAATGAACATAGGGATGCATGTTGGTTTGTCGTAAAACAGGTGTTTTGGATATATTCCTAGGAGTGCTATTGCTGGGTCATATGGTATGCAGATTTTGAGTTGTTTGAGTGTTCTCCAGACTGATTTCCATAAAGGCTGTACCAATTTGCAGCTCCACCAGCAGTGGAGTAGGGTTCCCTTTTCCCCGCATCCTCGCCAGCAAGCGTCGTTGGTGTTCTTGTTTATGTGGGCCAATCTTACTGGTGTTAGGTGGTACCTCATCGATGTTTTAATTTGGATTTCCCTTATTGCTAGGGAGCTGGAACATTTTTTCATATGTTTGTTTGCCATTTGGACTTGTTCCTTTGTGAAATGTTTGCCCATTTCCCGTGCCCATTTCTTGAGTGGCTTGTTTGTTTTGGTTTTTTGGTTGTTTTGAAGTTCTTTATATATCCTGGAAATTAGCCCCCTATCGCCTATATCGTGTGCAAAGATCTTCTCCCACTCTGTGGGTTGCTTTTTTACTTTGTTGATTGTTTCCCTTGCTGTACAGAAGCTTCTTAGTTTGATGAGGTCCCATTTGTTTATTCTGTTCTCAACTGCTATTGCTTTTGGTGTCCTTCTTAGAAAGTCGGGACCTACTCCTAGGTCTTGCAGGGTATTTCCTACATTTTCTTGCAAGAGTTTGAAGGTTTCTGGATGTAGGTTTAGGTCTTTTATCCATGTAGATTGGATCTTAGTGTATGGTGATAGATGTGGGTCTATTTTTTTGTTTCTACAGGCTATCAGCCAGTTGTCCCAACAACATTTACCAAAGAGGCCTTCCCACTTGCTTGAGCTGTCATTGGTCTTTTTGTCAAAGATTAATTGGCTGTATTTGTGTGGGTTCCCTTTTGGTGCTTCTATTCTATTCCATTGATCTTCCTTTCTGTCTTTGTGCCAGTACCAGGCTGTTTTGATAACCACTGCTCTATAGTATGTCCAGAGGTCCGGGATTGTGATTCCCCCTGCTGACTTCTTATTTTTCAGGATGGTTCTAGCTATTCGTGGTTTTTTGTGCTTCCAGATGAACTTTTGAATCATTGTATCCAGTTCCGTGAAGAATGTTTTGGGCAATTTGATTGGAATTGCATTGAAAATGTATATTGCTTGTGGTAGTATAGACATTTTAATGATATTGATTTTGCCTATCCAGGAGCACGGGATGTTATTCCATCTTTTGAGGTTTTGTTCAATTTCCTTTTTAAATAGTTTGTAGTTTTCTTCGAATAGGTCTCCTACGCTTTTGGTTAGATTTATTCCCAAATACTTCATACTTCTCTCTGCTATTTTGAATGGTATCCTGTTGGTTAGATCTTCTTCCATCTTGGTGTTATTTGCGTACACTATGGCTGTTGATTTTCGTTCGTTAATTTTGTACCCCGCCACTCTGCCAAACTCTCGTATAAGTTCTAGCAGTTTCTGTATTGAGTCTCCTGGTTTTTCTATGTATAGGATTATGTCATCTGCATATAGTGAAAGCTTGACTTCTTCGTTTCCTATACGTATGCCTTCCCACTGAGATCTGGAACAAGACAAGGGTGCCCGCTATCACCACTGCTATTCAACATAGTCCTAGAGGTACTTGCAGAGGCCATAAGACAAGAAAAAGAAATCAACTTTATTTTTTAAGCATTTTTTTTAAACCTCCCATGCCTCATGTTTTGCAGGTAACACATCTGGACAGGTGCTGTGGCACAGCAAGTTAAGCCACTGCTTGGCAAGCCCACACCTCACATCGAGCGCCTGGACTCCAGTCCTGCCTTCACCTTTACTCCTGACCCACTTCCTGCAGACACACCTGAGAGGCAGCAGGGGACAGTTCAGGCACTAGATTCCTGCCAACCACATGGCAAGCTCTGTGGGAATTCCTGGCTCCTGGCTTCAGCCTGGCACCTCCCTGGCTGCTGCAGCACTTAGGGAGTGAATCATCAGATGAAAGATCCCTCCCTCTGTGTCACTGTCTCTCTCTGTCACTCTTTCTTTCAAATAAACACAACCGAACACATACACATTAAAAACATAGCACATCCAATAATAGATCCTAAATGTCAAATTAGCCTTTAAAGAATAATCCTATTTTGAAGCGATCTTAAAGGGACCCAAATTATTTAAAGGTGGATGTGACACAAGGTGTCCCTCATTGGGAGAAGCTTCCCGAACAGGGCTCTTGTGACTCTGAGGCAGGCACGACAGCAAAAGGGGAAGAACACAGCATGAAGTCCATTCCAAAGTTCGCACTGGGAGAGCAAAGCCCTTGCTACCACCAAGAACAAACCTAGGTAACTAAGCAGGTTGACCACCTGAGTGCAGGGGTCAGCATGGCCCTCACCCTGACACAGCCACAGCTCTGAGCACGGGGGCAGCACACCCTCACCCTGGCACAGCCCACCCTCACCCTGGCACAGCCCACCCTCACCCTGACACAGCCCTAGCTCTGAATGCAGAGATCAGCACACCCTCACCCTGGCACAGCCCCAGCTCTGAGTGCAGGGGTCAACACACCCTCACCCTGACACAGTCCCAGCTCTGAGTGCAAGGCAGAAATAGGGCTCAAAATATATGCATGAGCTCAAGAGGACATGTGGGACACAACTGCAGGACACAGCAGCCAATGGAGGCTGAGCCAAACGTGTGAACATCCTCTGTCCTCTAGAAATGTGCCGGAAAGCTCTAGAAAATAAGTGGATGTCAAGTCACATGGCCTAGACCTCAGTTACTTCACACAATTAACAATGGGCTATAAGAGCCAGGTCTGCTTGGCAGCTAATCCTACAAGCTTCAGCAAGCTCTGGAACTCCCAGAACCCCAAATTTCCCAAGTATAAAACAGGCAAATAACCATTTTCTCTCTGGAGTAATATGAGAATGAAGCAGTGTTTATGTGTATGTTTTTATCTGCAGGAAGGTGTGCACATGTGTATGTATGTGTGTCTGTGTACGCCTATTGCCCAACAGACATGAAGAACTATATCTACTGGGGTCGACATTTGGCACAGCCAAAGGGTCAAGTTCTGATCTTACCTCCTGTTCCAGCTCCCTGCTGATGAACACCCTGGGAAGCAGCAGGTGATGCTGCAAGTTGGCTGGGTCCCTGCCACTCTGGCGGGAGACTTGGGCCAGATTCTGGCTCCTGGGCTTTGAGCTGGCCCAGCCCTGGCTGCTTCAGGCTTTTGAGGAAAGAACCAATGGATGGAAGATTCCTCTCTCTCCCCCTCTCTCTCTCTCTTTCAAATCAAATAATAAAAATTTTAAACATTTAAATGGTACTGGTGCATTAACTATAAGTAATTTCTTATTTATAAAAATACCAGTACATTCAAATTTCATTTTTACATGGGTTTGGGGAACTTTGAAAAACCAACAGTCAGCATCTGCCAGGCCTCATCAACCCACTCGGGCCTGACTACAGCATCACAGGTCTAAACTGTCGTTGAGAACCCGAGTGGCATCTTCATCATTTCTGAACAGCCTCAAATATCAAAGCTCGTTGACACTGGCCCAGTGGGGCCAGATGGGAGGCAGTGACACTTATGGTGCTGTCTGGTGTTGCAGCATAACGTGGGGGCCCCCACGCAGCGGGAGTGTGAAGGGTGCAAAGGGAAGAAGAGCAATGGGAAGAAGAAACGGGTGAGAAGTGAAAGCCCAAGGCTGCCGCCTAGCTGGAGGAACCACACAGAATCTCCCAGAATGCTCTGAGAGCAGCTGGGTGCCAGGATAATCTGGGTGTGCGTGCTCACCCACATACCTGCAATGCAAGCCTGACAACAGAGATCCCTGAGGACGGGAGAGAGGCCCAAGCCGAAGGATACCCCCAAAGTGAAGGCAGGACAGATAGAAAGTTGCTTTCACATCACACTCACCGGGACTAACCCAATGATCTGTCTCAGCTCACCAAGGAAGATGTTCTCTTTGAGAGTTAAGCAAACAGAAGAGGAAGATGCCTCGGGGACCATCAAAAATATAAAGAACTTTGAGGAAGAAAAGCAGTAACTATAGGCAAAATTCAGGCTTGAGCAATGGGCAGATTTTACTTTACATTTCCTGGGGTTAAAAAGTCCTGGCTTACAGCTAGGCTAATTATAAGATAATCTCACCCACTGAATATGTTGTTAAGCTTCAGAATACAGTTTACCAGTGCAGAGAGAAGCCCTGGCTGGGACAGGAGGGGAAGATGTGGCAAGCATGGGGACAAGAAATGAAAAGTTGCTCATTGAC